GTCTCTGCCACAGCAATTTGTGCCGTTCCACACATCTCCTGTTGGACACCAGCGGGAATTGGGGTTGGACCACCAAGGTGGCTGCCCAGGCTCCCATCCCCGTGTGCGCGGGAGCCCCAGCTCACGCCCAGGGCTGTATGGGTGTATAATGACCCTTCCACCAGCGTCCAGCTCGTTCGTAGCACTTGGGGAGGGGCTGAAGACCCCGACTTGGGTGCGTGCACAGAAAGCTCTGGGCTCCGCGCAGTAGCACAACGGTTCAGTGCCATTCCACACCCGGGGACACTGAGCCAAGCCCCCAGGTGCCCAGCACATCCCGGATCTGCAGGTGGCCCTGGTGACAACCACCCCCCCGCAGGAGTGGCTCGGACACCCTGGTCCCACTCTCGGTAGCCGGGCTGAGCCCTGGCGGTCTGCTGGGCAGAACGAGAGAGAGAAAACCCCGGGGAGGCTCTGCACTCGCAAACACGGGAAGAGACGCGGGCATCCCGCCAGCGCAGCCGGTTTTTTTCTGAGCGATGCCGCTCCGGGTCTGTTTAACCATAACCACGGACTCAAACCGTTGTCTTGGCTGACGGTGGCCTCGCTTTCCCCCCAGGAGTCTGGATGCTCTTCCCAAGCCCGGCTGTCCCCAGGCTCAGCTGGCGGGTCCCTGCCAGGGCTCGGCTCTTGCCAGCCTCCATCTGTCCCTGCCAGCTCTGCTCGATGCTCGGCATGTCCAACACATCTCCAGCACGGCTCTCGAGGCCATTTCCCTCTTGGCAGAAGCCACGTTGCTGCTGGGGCTGCTGTTCATGGCTGGGGGGCCCCTCCAGATGTGGACTGGTCCACATGGATCCCCTGCAAGCTCCAAGGTGCCCGTGGGACCCCACACTGGAACACAGACCCCCACCATCGCCCCAGATTCAGCCTCCAACGACGTCCCACAGCCACCACGTCACCTGGGTTTCAGCCCAAGCAGGTGATGGCACCTTGGCTTTGGAGAACGACCTAGACCCCCAACACACCATCATCACCAAGCCCTGGAAACCTCTAAAATCAGGTGGCACCTCTACCTTGGGTCACATAATTCTAGTCCAGAATCCCAGAAGATGCTTGGCCACAGCCCCCAGAGTCACTGCCCCACCATGCTGCTCCCAGCTGCGGGATGGCAGCCCCCCAGTGTCACAGAATCACAGAATCATGGAATATCTCAACTGGGAAGGGACCCAGAAGTGTCCCAGGGTGATGGACCCCAAGTCTGCAGGTCAGGGTTTGTGGCTGCAGAGGATTGAAGGAGCTGGAACATCCCGCTGAGCCCAAGGCAAACACCCAACGATGGGTTTGGGGGAAGTCGTGTGGGAAGGCAAAGTCAGCATTGTGGAAACAACGACACCAGGAATGGGCAAGAGCTCCTCGGGACCCCCGAAATGTCCAGAGAACAGAAGAGGAACCACGACGTCAAAGAGCAAAATGAAACGGTGAAAGCAGAGACCACCGGGCTCTTGTCAGGTCTCCTCTGCACGTTCCTGGGAGCAAAATAAAGGTAAAACATCAAAGAGAAGAGCAGGCTGGACTTTCCCAGGAGAGATCCCACCACCGAGCAGGTTCTAAGCCACCGCACTGACCTTCATGAGTCATGGAACTTGGCAGAACATCTCAGTCAACGGAAACATCTAGAAGGAAACCCAGCCACGTTCCAGCAAAGGGCAGCCGCAGCCACCGCCTTCAATTGATCTGGTCGTGGAAAATCTGTGATTTACGGGGCGAGCTGTGACTGCTCATCTCTAATGTGATTTCCACCAGAATATACGGTGTGGAGGCTGGAAACCCACCAAAGGTGCAGACGGACGTCAGAGCGCTGCCGAAAACAAAGAATGGGGGGAAATGGAAAGGTCAAACGGTATAAATCTGTCCCGAGCACCGAGATTCATTGCAAAGGCCAAGAACTTATTATCTCTAGAGCTGTGCGGAAGGAAAAAAGCCACCTCTGGGGGATGGAGTGGAGCTGGGTCAGCCGCCGCGGCAGCTCTGCGGAGGAGCTGGAGAGCAGCATGAGCAGAGGTACCCACCTCCAACCACCACCTGGAGATGGAAACCTTGGGGATGGAGGGTGTGAGGAGCATCTCAGAGCAAAGAGGACAAGGAGAGCCCCACTCACCCCTCGAGTGAGCCTGGGCAGCCCAGGAATGACTCTCACGTGGTGACTGTCTTCAGCAATGGATCCTCTTCCTCCATCTTCCTCTTGGAAAAAGCAAAAGACGAGCCCAAAGGGCTTAAAATCATAGAATAAAATCCCAGGATGGTTTGGGTGGGAAGGGACCTTAAAGCCCACCCAGTGCCACCCCCTGCCATGGGCAGGGACACCTCCCACCAGCCCAGGTTGCCCAAAGCCTCATCCAGCCTGGCCTTGAACCCCTCCAGGGTGTTCCTGCACGGAACAGGATCCTGCACAGCTGGATCTGCAGCAAGCTGGAGCAGAAGCAGCGGGAGAGGTTGTTTATTACAGTCATGGTCACTTAACTGGCCTAAATGAGCATTTAGGAGCCGTTACGGTGAATCACGACTGCGCCTGATCTGCACACCCAGCGCAGGGGCCACTGCGGGCAGGCTATGAATTAGCTGGCAAAGAAAATGAAGAAAGATGAGGGTCTGGAGGTGATGAAGGAAAATATTTTTCCGTTTCAGATGATGCACAAGGAAAGCCAAAGGAATTATCCGAGGAGCTCGCGGCTGGCTGTCCCATCCAGCGGCGCGTGGCCAAGAACTCCCTGGTTTCCAGCACCCTGCAGCGTTGGGTACCAGCTGCAGGATCAGGTTAAATACTGGAAACCAGTCAGCAGCTGGTCACCTTATCTAAGTCACTTCACCAAAACTGTTCTCTTTTAGATGTGGAACTTTCCCACAAGCAAGATCCGAGGTGAGGTGTCCACACCCATCCCCTGCATCAGGGATGCGGGAGCATCTCCTGCATCTCAGCAGAAAAGCTGCTAAGGAGCAGCCAGCAGGACAGCAGCTGAAGGAAACATCCCACATACGTGACAGAAGATTTTTTTCCCCCAACACCAGTTAAAAAAAGTGAAAATCACACTGAGTAAAATAACTTTTTTTGGGAAACATCCCAAAAGACTCAGATAACAGGCTGCAGGTTGCACAGACGCACCCAGGCTGCTGCAGACCCCGTCCCACCGGCAACTGCTGCATCCAGCTGCCGAGGACGCCGGGCAGGAGATCCCTGGTCTTTATTTTCGGGGGGCACTGACTCAATTCCTGCGTGGTCTTGCCGATGAGACTTTCCCCATCCCTGGTGAGGTTCAAGAAGCATCTCACAGACATTTATTGTCACCACTGTGCTTGCACCCCATGGTCCGGGTGCTCATGTAAAGGATGAGTCCCTGCACACGCGATACAGCCTGCGCAGAGATGTCGGACAGGAACTGTCCCAGAAAGAGCCTCGTGAATGTTCAACCCCCCTTCTGAAGGCGGTCAAACACCAGGATTCCCTATTTCATATCTAATTTGTGCACTGTGGGATTTATTCTGTTCAGCTCTTCAGTCTGTGTACTAGCACTTAAGATACTCGAGGAAAAATCTGAAATTATTTCACTGGCAAAAACACCAACGAGAAAACTGCGTCAGCAGTGTCCCCCCCCGCAGCCAGCACGGCAGCCAGACAGATCTGGGCATCTTCTGAGGGGCCAGGTCAGACTCCGCTATGGGATTTGCCGCACTCATCACTTCTCACTCTAAGCAAGCTGCTGGAATGAAATGTCTCACCCCAGGGCTCTGGGATAATCCCATTTATATTCAAAGGAACTGATCCGGACGCTCGCAAGAGAAGGCAGAACCGGCAATTATTCTCTTTAATCACAATGTCAGGGAAGCGCTGTCCTGCATCCCCTTGTTCTGCGCAGCAGCACATCAGTCCTTTGATTTCCTGCTGCACCATCAATCCCCCCTGCCCCAACCTCACTTCCCATTACGAGGACGCAGCTGACGAACCCACCCACGTCCCAGCTCCCAAAACGAGCCTCCAGCAGAAGCCCAGAACCAAAAGCCCACGCCTCCCCTTGTTCCCCCAGACCCTCCAAGCCAGGGGTGTCCCCCCCCCGGCAGCACAAGTCCAGCTGGAGAGGAAAGCCACGCTCATCGCGCACTTTATGCAGCAGGTGTGTGAACCGTACCCTCTTTTCTCATCTCACACAACACCTGAGCTCCAAGAGGTGACGTTGGACCTGTTATTGCATTTTATTTACCCATTTGGTGCTGGTCCGTCCATCCCTCCTCCTGACCACTGTTCTCTCTTTCATGGTACCAGCCGACACAACGAACAGAACACCCAAAACAACCGTGTTCCCCCTGCAAAGCTGTGGGTATATAAATATTACCACTGGCACAAACTTCTCCCCCCTGCAACCCACCTGATGCTGCCGCCGCCTCCATCCTGACCCTGCTCCGCGCCAACAACGAGCCCCGTGCAAAGTCCGGGTTGTATTCGGTTTGGTGAAGCATGAGACGCTGCGGCTGCAGAAGGCTTATCGGTGCGGCTTTGGGCAAGAGATGTGTGTTAGCCAAGACCCGTGTCCCTCAAAAGCACCTCTAAGATCTTTTCAGAGATGCTGTGAGGCCACCAGAGGAGGACACAGGATGGGAACTGGACCTGTCACACCTCACACTCCAGTACCCATCACTGGGAGCACTGGGAAACACCCAGGACCCCCACCAGCCTCATCCAGCCACCGTTAAAAAAGGAGCCGAGAGCAGCTGGTAATGTCTCAGAGCATTCACGTTGCCATCCACCGAACATCCTTACAGTGCGAGAACACAGCAAAGCGCAGGGCGGACAGCTCAGACCCGGTCAGTTCGTTAACGGATGGGAATAACGAGGGCACACCGAACAGCTCGTTCTGCAAAGGAACCAGTCCAGCCTCCTTCCCCCCAGTCCATCCCAGAGCAGATCGGTGCCGGTTTAGTGACGGCGTTGCTTCGGGATCGCTGCGGGAAGCCTTTGGCTGCGATTCTCAGAGAACCTGCTCGGTGCTGGAGGAGGAAATGTCCAACAGCCTCCACGCGGCGTAGGGGTTGAGCTCGTCCTGGTCTCTGCACAGCGCCCACACGTACAGCATCCGCAGAACCTTGTCCTGGAAGGAAAATCCTGCCGTTAGAGCGTGTGATGGACACAGAGCTCCCAGCTCAGAGCTGGCGGGGACGTGCTCCACGCTTCCCCCAGAGATTGCTCTGGGGATTCACTCTCTGGTTCTAACCCAGGACAGCTCCAGCAATATCCACCAGGTTAGAAACGGTCAGAAATTTATCACATGAGGAACGGATAAACTTTGGATTGCCAAAACCACAATTAGGGTTTTCAAATATCTCTGGCTGCCAAGTTTGATAACATTTGACCTGATTTTTTAAATATAAATGTCTGGTTTCAGATGGGTTTGCTCGCCAGGCTGCGCTGATCTCTGTAACCTCCCACCGGGTTGAGGCTCTTTCCTGCGGCTGTAGCTCTGTTTCTCCCACGTCTCTCCCCACAGCTACACCACTGGCTCTCACATGTCCATCTGAGCCGCTCCAATTAACCAGAAATTACCATCATCACATCCGAGGAGAGACAGAGAGAAAAAAAAAAAAATTTATCAACGAAAATCAGATCATAACACAGTGTTTGCACAGACACAGACTAATTCTGCCACCAAATCTTTGCTGTGCTTTCACCGTACGGGGTCACAGGCTGAAAATAAAAAAGCCTATCAGCTTTCCCATCCTTGAGGCATGTAATGAGAAGGCAGCAGCTTTGTTTCTAGTAAGGGAAAAAGGACAAAAGCCGTATCTCAGCACATCCTGCGGCCATCGCTCACCGTCCTCTACCCCTGCACCGCCTGTGACACAGCCTCTGCCTCCCCCAGAAGAGGTGACGCCGGCTATCAGAGCCCGGATCTGGTGCGGTGTCACAGCTCCCTGCTGCACACCATGGGTTCTGTCGATTTTCTCATTCAGCCACTAACCATCCCTCAGACAAGGAGTATCACTGAGGGATCAGGCTGTGTTGGCTCGGCTCCCAGACGTGTACTGAACCACCACACATCTGATCAAATCCGTGAATCGTTACGGGTTATAATTTAGGGACACAAACGTGACAGCGGAGACTTGCTGTACCAGACCAGTCATGAGAAAAATTAATGCTTGAGATATATCACCCATCATAAAGGCATTTTTTTTTGGTCTTGCTCAGTGTTTCAGAAGATGAACTTGCTCCAGCTCTGCTCAGAAGTGCTAAAAGTGATTGAAAACGGGAGTCAGATGTTTGGGATGTGGCAGAAGGAAGAGCAGAAGGGACAAGAGAAGAAAAACAAAATTTTGCTTGCTCAAGGCGGGCTGTGCATTGACGTACTAACCTCAGCAACGATAACAGACCCCCCCTGAGCATAAAACACTAAGAATAAGCTCAAGATGAAATGAATAACTGATTGAATACTGCCAGCAGAACCTTAATTTGTATGATTTTTGTGATTTTCAAAGTCCATTTCAGAAGGCTGGGTACGAAGGGTGATTTAATCACACACTTCAGCACCAAAGCTCTGCTGCATCTGGAAAAGTTTGTGTTGCCAAACACGGGATTTCGGAAGGGATGAGCAGCAGACAAGCTCAGAGCTGCTGGTGCTCTTGCAGCGTGCAGTACCCAGCAAGCAGCGCAGCTTTCCTGCTGGAAACGAGACACGACGAAACATAAAAATTACATGTTTCCAAAGCAGAGAGATTTCTGGTTGTGTTGCTTTTATTAACAGGGTCCCTCTTAATCCTCAACGTACGGTGCACGCTGCTGCTGTGTATATCCACAGAAAATGGGACAGCAAATTTGTGGGCTCCCAAAGGCAGATTTCCACCACGACCAGGAGGTGAAACACGGCAGCAATCACAACCATATGATTTCTATTCAGAGAGTTGACAATCTGAGGCCCCTTTTCCCTAGAACGTCGTTTGTTCGGTGCTCGGCAGGAGCAGCTCAGCAGTTAACACCGAATCATCGTTCCCAGCCAGCCTGCATCCCACTGATTTGATTAAAGCTGAAGGTTTGTTTCCAACAGAGAATTTTAATGCATCTCCCTGATTTATTGCTTCTCTGGAGAAATCAGACAGCAAACGGACTTTGATATCCTGTTCAATAATTATCACATCAATATCTATCTTCGAGGAACGCAGTAATTTAATGCAAGAAACCACTCTATCAGCTCTTCCTCCCCTGCAGTCGAGGTGACAGGCTATAAATCAGGCCAGATGGGTCCCATCATTAAAATTAGTCCTTTCTTTTTTTTTTTGTAAACTTACAGCCTGGACTAGAGAATGGTTGCACAAAAGCCAATATTTATTAAAAGCATGTATTAATTTTAATGGAAGTCTGCTCGAAACTGCCAGCTCCAGGCACCTCACCATGTCCCCCATTATAGACCATTAACATTGCACAGACACAAGGCGAGCCGGAGCCGTCTGGACAGGGAGCCGCTGGAGAAGAAAGGTATTCCAGAAACCACGCGGGCTCCTGAGCCTGCTGTGTCGTTAACTCTGGTAACGAGCAGATCCTGCGGTTAGGTCTGACAGGCTCCGTTTAGCATCGCTCACGGCAGAGCAGGCAGGCTGGGCTCGCGGTGTTAAAAGCTAAACCGCAGCGAAGGACAATCCGCAGAGGTGCCAGATTCACCGCACAAATCACCCCCGGTCAGAGGTTCCCATTTACAAGCCTGTGTCACGCACAGTGTTTAATCCGGATGGACACGGGGGAGTTTACGGGAAGTAAAGGGTTGCAGCCCTGAAAGATATTTTGTGCTGGTGTAGGGAGGCAATATAGAATCCCAGGATGGTTTGGGTGGGAAGGGACCTTAAAGCCCCCCCAGTGCCACCCCCTGCCATGGGCAGGGACACCTCCCACTAGCCCAGGTTGCCCAAAGCCTCATCCAGCCTGGCCTTGAACCCCTCCAGGGATGGGGCACCCACAGCTTCTCTGGGCACCCTGGGCCACTGCCTCACCCCCCGCACAGGGAAACATTTCTTCCTCACATCTCATCTCAATCTCCCCTCTGGCAGCTTCAAACCGTTCCCCTCGGCCTGTCCCTGCACCCCCTGATAAGCAGTGCCTCCCCAGCTGGAAGGGAAAGCACTGCTGGTGGTCATAGCTCCAGCTCCTTTCCTCGCTGTGAATTTAAAACATCCCTTTCTCTGTCCCTTCCAGATGTTTGCAGACTCTCCTCATATCCAATAATTTTCAATTAATGGGTCATAACACTTCAGGAGCCTGACAGGAATAAATAACCCACACTGAGCTGAACCAAAGACCCACAAGATGCAATATTATTCCTTCGTGTGGACACCCACTGCTCTAGATGGACCCAGACAAATCCGTAACAAGTGAGGTGACAAGCAGGGGACCCAGGGAAGCAGCATAAAGCCGACAAGCGTGACTTACCGGATCACCTTCCACCACCTCCCCGTTCTGGTTCTTAATCACCATCACAACCTGAGCCTGAAAAGTGATAATTAATACTGGTCCCTGCTCCATCATCTTCCCCATCGCCAGCTGCAAGGAAAGAAAATCCCATTAGAAAACAAACAATTTCTGCAGCTTAATGTAAAAACATCAAGTATTTAACCCAACTGCCATGGCCTGGCACGGCTCACAGAGGAGATCTTTGAAGATACGTGGTCATCTACCAAACAGCTCCCCCTGTTCTTCTGCAGGGTTACACAGGTCAAACCAAGTCTCCTGCTGTAGGGCGTTTGCCTGCGTGTTTCTTGAGCTCTCCTGCACCCACTCCAGGTTTTTAAATACATGGGCATGAAAAGAGAGACTCTGAACAGGGCTGCAGACAGACAAAAGCCGCCGTCAGCACCCCTCCCGTCAGCAAACCAGCATCAGATTTGGTTCTCTCGGTTTCCCAACATGGTTGCTGAATTCTTCCTGACTTCTTCTCTTGCAGGGGTGTGACCAAAAACCCAAAACAAACCCAGCAGCTGGAGCAAAGAAGAAAACCTCTCCTTAGGTCAGGAGTTTCTACTCGATCCCCCAAGGTGAAATGTAGAAAAGGACACTCACATCGATGTTGTCGATGTCCAGAATCCTGGAGTGGAACTGGAGACCCATGGCTTTGGCTTGCTGGATCGGATGAGCAAGCTGACTGAAAGTCTAAACGAAGCAACAAACGCATGTTACATGTTTGAATTTGTTCGGTCACAAAGAAAAAGGGATTTTCTGCTTAGAGAGAACCACCAAAAAAAAGATCAGAATAAAAGTCAGGTTTTTTTGCAAATACACTGTGCAAATTCCACGCATAGGTCTTGCAAGGTCTCAAACAGCTCCATCAAATGCTCTGGGCTTCGCACAACCAAATCCTCGGTGAAAATCCCCCCTCCCCTGGAGATCCATCATCACCGAGTACGTACACCGAGCACACCTGAGAGCCAGGGCACTCACGATCCTGATTTGAGAGCAGACGAGGAGGAACAGTCTGGAACCCAGCTATTTCCCCACTCCCCAGCATTTCCTGGCTCCTTTCAGGCCCATGCACATATGCTGCATTATTTCTGCACCAAGAACTGCTGCTGGGGATAGCAGATTTCTACCTGCTTCCAGCGTTATCACCGTATTCTTGGCAGGTATGGAACAAACAGGAGGGAGTCCCTGCCTACCTCCCCCACCACAGATCTTCTAACCTTTGTCACAAGCATTTAAATGCAAATATCCTGCAGAAATTCCTGGAAACGTCACCAGAGTGAAGCTGGAGTCACAGATGAGGGATTCTGAGGACAGCCCAAGCCCGTGGGCTGACAGCAGCCTGCAGCTCGGTCGGTGTACTCGCCACTTAAATACGTTTTTGCTTTACTGGTTTGTATTCTGACACTTTCGTGACCAGTATCACAAACTCAACATTGCGGCACGATGCTGTTCAAGAACGTTTATCTCCTGGAGTCTCATTAATAGGACTCTCATTTCCTGTCCTGGCTTATTTTATGGATGATTCCTGACTTTTGGGTTTAATTTATAACTACAAGTAGCTCAGAAGGGTTTGCTTTCTGTCTTATAAACTGCAGAGAATCCACTACTTCCCTCTAGAGACTGGAGAGGAATTCTACAGTGTCATTTCAAAGGTTGCCTGAACCAATAAAGAACTAACTTTACCTTCAGACTTCTTTAAATATCTCACTCTTACATACTGCAATATTGTTACAAAGATGTTAATCACAAAAAAATTAAATAAAAAAATGTGTCTCTTCCAGCATGTGCTTTCCCAGCCCTCTGCTGGCGGGGCTCAGGAAGGAGAACATTCACTTCGAGCAACTAAATTCTTTAGAAACCAAACTGCGGCTCTGCATTGCCTCCAACACAATTATTCTGCAGCAGAGTGAAGATCAGAACAAGCGTCCATCTACTCACAAGGGACAATCGAAACCTTTTGAGACATTTTCAGTAGCTGTACTCACCGCTTCATAGCACCAGTCTTTGAGGATATCAAGTTCTCCAGACATCATAGCCTACAAGAGACAATCAAATAAAATATGAGCATTTTAAACCACCTTCTATATCGGAGAGCTGAAGTTATCAGCACTTTCAGCAGCAAAGTATTTGAAATCCTACATCTTGTGAAACCCAGAAGGAGCTTGAAAGAGGAACAGCAATAAGAACTTCTATTGACACACACGTACCGAGTCAGAAGTAGATAAACCTTCTGATAATTAAGACAAAAGCTATCTTAAACCTTCCCATCCAAAAAGGCAGCAGAACAGTGCCAGAAATATTTTCACTGACCCATCTGCCATGACCTGCTCTTCTTCCCAAGCAGCTGCTCATCACGTAGGATCCAGCTGTACCCAGGACATCCTTTCCCTTATCAATATTTGATATAATTTGCCCAGTGCTGTTCATTCACCTACTTCAGTCTGATCCCTCTGCTGCCCTTATAATTTCTCATGGGAGAAGATGTTTAGTCGTTTTTGAGGTCAGGAAAAAAAAAAAAAAAACTGCTAAATTATGAAATATGGTTTTAAACTCAATCATCGTGTGGGATCCAGCTTCCTTTTCCCAAGGTTATCTCATGTTCTGTGCAAAGCTGGATGCTTGAGAAGCAAATACTGTCGCAGCTTTTAATTTTAGCATCAGAAAACTAAAAGAAAAATCTCCCATGTTATAGCAAAAGAAAAAAATAAAACAAAGGCATCATACTCTGCCCCCACCTTACCTCCAAGACATTGGGGATTATATCACGCTCGCACTGCTTTAGAAACCGATCTTTGTCAAAGGACGGATCCACTTTGAGTATCTCCGTCAAAACTTCAGACATTTCTGTCTTGGAGAACAATCCACCTGATAGAACAACTCAGTGAGACTGGTGGCATGACAACTGCCACCAGAAAACTAGAGAAAGACCTTTGGTTATATAACAGAGAGACGGAAAAGTCACCTGGGAACAACTGCAGACTAAGCTAAGCTGAAAAGGTTTACCCCACACAAGCACTTGGCATCGCACCGCACTTCTCACCCAGCAGCTACACTGCGCGGTACCGGCGAACGACCCACGCAAAATATTATAAAGCTCCAGAATCTGTCCCGAAGGTCAGTGACACCCCAGCACTAACAGTCAGGAGGAACAGAGCTCAGAGGCTCGAGCCGCGCTTTCCCAGCGACGATGAAACGTTACCTATTAAGTCCGTGACTTTGTCTGTGACAGCTCTGGAAGCGCGGATGAAGGCATTATCACTTTCATCGTACTTCATCTTCATTTCAAAGAACCCTGAAAGGAGAGGAGGCATGAGCGGCAGCGTCCTTCCACTACACTCCTGAATTAGGAAACAACATCAAGACGAAACCTGCTAGTTCTCTTCTAACTCTCTCTGTTGATTAACAAGTTCCAATTTCAACAGTTACTTTCCTCCTCACCTTCCTGCAACGTTCTTAACTCTCAAGAACTGTGATGGTTTCTCTGATTTCAGCTCCTAGAAACTCTGGACCTTTTCTGCAGATTTTCAGACAGAAAATACTTTTGACCTGCTTACACCAGTAAGAGCCTGCTTGCACCACTGGATTCAGTCAAGGGGGAGCAGGATGGAGTGATGTGAAACCAACACCTGAAAGTTTAACCAGGATGAGGAAATCAAGAATAGACCTTAAATCTTGCCGATTTTTAATCGGATAGCAAGGCATCAGTAAGGATGCAGTTTGGAAGCAGCTCTATGTACATCTCAACCTTGATAAAAAATCAAGCCAAGCAGGTCCCAAAACTCCAGAAGTCACTGATGGGGAAGGAGAATGCCTGCAAAGCAAAATCTCCAAGGCAGAAAGAAGCGCAGGGGGTGAAGCAGTTAAAAAAAAAAAGGCATTTAAGCAAACAGACATTGTCACAACAAACTAAGGGCTCGAGCAACCCATGATCTGTCTCTGGCCATCAGCAGGTGGAGCAGAACTGCAGAAGGGAGTTGGGGGATAATGGGCGCTGCAGGGAAGCTTCTTCCCACCACGTCAATTAACAATTGGAATCCTGCCCTGAAGCTTCTGCTCCTTCCAAAAACCCACACGGTGTTCTCGGTGCAGGTGGTACACCACGGGAGAGCACACCCCGCAAAGCCTGGTGCAGCCACAGCTGCAGCGCTGCCCGAGCTGCAAAACCACCGTCTGGAAAATGGGGATAAAACGCAGAGAGTGCAGAGAGCTCCTGCAGATGGCAGAGGATGGGAGGATGCAACTTGTGGGGAGTTTTAGGAGCTCTGAGCATCTCTCCTCGGAAATTCTAACAAATGGGATATAAAACCCATTCTTGGACACCTCCCAAGGAGCTCTGCTTTAAAAAAAAAAGTCGGGAAGAAACACAATCCAGAGTTAATAATACATTGCACTTTTACACAGTCTTTTTTTTCCTGAACAAGCCATTTCCCCTGCAGGACACTGGCAGCAATTATTTTGATTTGTTGAAGGATCCTGGTCTCAGGCTTCTTTATGCCTTTCAGAAACATTAAGTGTCTCGATAACTATAAGAAATTATTGCTCACTGCAGTACAGATACTCTGGTTTTGTTGCAAAACCTAAAAATACCGAAAGGAGGCAAAGCCCCACGCATTCCAGAGTTCTAAGCAGATGAGAACAGAAACCAGCGCACTGAAGGTGAGATTTTTCCTCGTTATAAGCTCAAGGTAGAAGAGATCTGCCTGTCCCCTCCCTGGTGACAAGCACTATGCATGTCCTGGCCTCTTCCCAGAGCCAGAGTGGATCTGACTTGGAAAAAAATAGAAAAAAGAGCAGTGTTCAGGTTTTGGTACCTACAGGGAGCAGGGAATGATCAAAACCAGAGCCTTGGAGAAGGGTCCGACACAGATGGAGCAGCTGGGAAAAGCTGCGGCGTTGTCAGCTACGCCCACCCCCCTTCACACCGCCCCCCAGCAGCAGCGAGGACCGCAAAAAGGGCGAGGATTTGCAAGATGTTGAGACTAGATGCACAGATGGCATCAGATCCAACCCAGCAAGAATGAGAAGAGGGAAAATAACGTGCTGCTCCTTTGTCGTTGGGACACTTACGATTGAAGACGACGTTGTTGTCCTTGAAATCTTTCCACTGCTGGTACCATTTGGAGTCTTTATGCAGCACCATGCCCATGGCCTCCCTAGACAGGGCACAAAATACTTGTGAACAAGTGGCTTACAAGTGAGTGAGAGGAAAAAGGAGGACATCCTGACGAATATCCCTGCAGCACGCAGTGTCACTGAGGCTGATGACACCACAGAAATGACACACGACTTGGGGGAGCAAGGAGCAGAGAGAGCACAGGAGCTCAGACTCGGTTCTGCCAAACGCCATTCAACAGCACGATGTTAGAACCAAGAACACAAATACACGTGCAAGTCAAAATTTCATGCCAGAACATTACATACCCACTTTATAATTTGAATTTAATTCTAATTTAATTTTTTTGGCCCAGTTTCACTATCAGAAGATTCAGGATCATCAACTTATGCTGGAAATTTGCTCTGCTAGGTCACACCTCACCCCACAGGCCCCCTTCAGCACTTGGATTTTAACCAGCTCTGACCTCTAGTGAAGTTGTAAAGTTTTAATCAAATCATGCACAGAAATATTCACCGTAAATTACATCCCATACGTACTCATTAGCTTCAAATATTCGTTCCTCTTTACTCCTATCGCCTGAGAATTCTGTTCTTTTCCGAAGCCGCTCCGGACGTTTGTAAGGACCCGTCTGCCCCAAAACACTTTCATCTATTTCCTTCTTAACGGTTTCTACTCCCTGAAAGGAAAATATCCCAATTAGGTTGATTTACCATTCTCCCCACCTGTTCCCAGAAACTGAAAATCATTTCTGTTGAAGGAAAAAAAAAAAAACCAAAACAAAACAAAAAAAACAAGAGAGCGTGGATTATCCTCCTCTGCAAATGCTTCTTTGCTTATATCTACTGATAAACACACGGTGCCACGGCCCTTCTGCTCGAGAAGTTAACAGTCTAGGACAGCAAATGGATGGCTGTATTGAACCAACCTGAAGAAAAAAACCAATATACTAGAAGCTCTGGAGACAGTCAAACCTGATGGCTGATAAGGGGTAAGCTCTACAGAGTTTAAATCGGAATAAATCAAGTCAGAGGGAGGCAGAGTTATCAGCCCTGCACAGCAACCAGCAGCTGCAGATGGAATGACAAACCTCAGATAAAAGGAAGAATGATTCCTAGCAGGAATCACCAAATCTCCAAAAGGAGGGGAGAAGAAAGGCTTCAGGACACCACCAAACAAATGCAAAGACACCCAAAAGGTCAAAAAAATCCAGGTTCTAGGCCCAAGCTTAGACAGAAGACGTTTGCTACCCTGCTGCACAAGCACAGCAAGCGATTCCTCCAGTAACACGTTTCAGCAGCAGCTCAGCTACGAGCCTTACGCTTTTGTAGGGCTGTTGGGCGAATGCTAGACGTGCAAAATACATCTCCTGAATTTAACGGCTTATTCCAGCAGCTCACAAGATCTTACTGTAAGAGTTTGGCGTTTAATTTTACAGTCAACGCAAACTCACACATAACCGCCCTGTTAACGAGCCGTGCCAGCAGCGCTGCATCCTAGGGAGGCATGGGACTGACGTACCTGAGAAATCGCTTTGAAGGCTGCTGTCTTGCCTAATTTCTCTCCTCCTTTTGTCACCGACTCCGCAGACTGCTTTGCTGTTTTTGCTGCTTCTTCCACACCTTCCTTTATCTTTCGGCCGATATCACTCTTACTGACTTCATCCAAACTCTGCAATGAAACAAAACAGGAAAAAAAAGTCATTTCAGGGGAAAACTTATTTTGAGTTACTCCTCTTTGGGAATCCTTAATTTGGGATTAACCAAACCTACAGTGAACACTGCGCCTGATTTTTGCACATTTAAAATATGATCAGGAAGACTCCTCAGAAGTTTACTCCAGAGGTAAAAGTCAAAGCACATGAACCACACCAACGCATCTGCTGCCTGGATGAACCCAGACGAGGAACGAAGCAAACGAGCACAAGCTGCAGGGCTCAGTCCCATCCTAAAAAACAACTGGAGACTTTTTTTACTGCCAGACAACGCAGAACCATACGGACTGTCTCCAATATCCAAATCGGAGAGGAGTCACCGGACAGTGCCTGTCCTCTGACCACTAAGAAATCTATCATACACCACTGCTGCAATTTTGTTAATGACTCTGGCCTTAAATATTCAGAATAGCGATCACCTTTGGAACAGCAACCACCTTTCATCAGGAAAAAAAGACTGAGGGATAATTCAAACACACACAAACCCAAAACCCTCAAGCAGAACTGCCTAAGCCTCCATGGCTGTATTTTACCTCTTTAACTGTTCCAGTTATTTCTTCAAGTTTCTTTTTAATCACTTCTGAGGTCTTCACTGTTTCGGATTCAATGGTTTTCTGTGGAAAAAAAACCATGTGAGGACAGAAAATACTCAGAATCCATTTAACACCGTAACTGGGGGCAAAACGAGCTACATCGGAGGGAGCCACTCAAGTAACCAGCATCAGCATTTCACTTTCACAAGTAATGCTGTCTATAGTTTTTCAAAGAATGCAAAAGAAGTGTTCAAATACAGCCAACGTTAAATTTAATGTCTCATTATTTTATCTGCTTGTTATTTGGGAAATCCAGTAAGGGTCTGCTGGAAAGATTTTCCACTAAAAAATAAAACCACTCCAAGGCATCCATTTAGCAGTCAGTATTCCCAGCCAAGAAGAACTTCCTATAAAATGCTGAACGAAACAGTTCATTTCCAGAGAGATTCCAATTTATATTCAGAACAGTAAGAGCTCAGTGGCTGGGCAATGAAAACATCAAAGGAATTCATGAGGAAGACTCACGTATTTCCTCCTTGCTTCTCGGAGCGCATCAGACTCTTCTAGCTTTTTAGCTTCATCTCGGAATTTTTTAATACTTTCTTTCATCTCCTTGTTTTTTGCCAATTCCTGTTTGATGTTCTCCACAAAACCCGATATAAACCCCTTTCTTCCTCCAGCAGAGTAGCATCTAGACTGAAGAAAATCATTACAAGTTGTAGAATCCAAAGAGATTTCATTGATTTACAACAAGTATCAAAACCAGCACGTAGATTTACTTAAGCCAAGCACCGGGTCACTTCTAACGTATTCAATGTTGTGGCAAACATCCAGCTACCTTGAAAAAGCAGCAGCTTACCCCAAAACCAGCCAGATGTCCAGCACATTCCTAATGCCCCGTGAAATACATCTACACAGCGATTAAAAAATATGCTTCTCCAGAGGAAGTTTAACTCCAGAGCTTAGTTCAGGCTTTGGTGGATGACGTTACCAGAGCACCGCTCCTGAACTCTGCCACTTGGACTCAGATGCTACAAAATTCCTTGAGTCCATCAAATAGATCTTAAAAAGTGGAAACTTTCAACCTAAAAAGTGGAAACTTTCAACCTAAAAAGTGTGCTTCTCAGAAACGTATCAGTACCCTAGTGGGGAACCACTTTTGTCTTGAAATAAAAGAATTTGGCCGTTCACCAACCTGATGGATCTCTAGAGCAGGCCCACTCATCCTGTACGCTGTGCCGCTGAGCACCGCAGGAACCGGGTATCTTCTGGACACGAGCCATATGCCGCTGAGGAGACATTTCTGCCACGAAAACATCAGAACAGGTGTTAGCACGCAACACATGAGAAATCAAACAGGCTTTGCTATTGAAAGCTTTGGAAAACGATTCGGAAGCCGAGAATATTTAATTCTGTGTCCAAGTTCACAATAAAACATCCATCGCCTTATCAGGCCCCCAGATGTTGAAAAGGTTTTGTAAGAAGCTGCACTGCCCGGTCCTGCGGCTCCAGTGACGGCACCGCCAAACACCACAACCTACATCGAGTTCGCTGCTGCGATGGAGTAACGGCGTAACCGCCCCGCGCATCCTGCTGGCCCAAAGACACGCCTGACATTAATTCACTGGTTTCTACACTTCTGAAACTCACATCTTTTAAATTCAGCTCCCTCTCCTCTACCGCCTCTGCAGTTATACCCAAGTTCCACCAGCTGAACTTTACAATATCAAGTTTGAATCCAGGCAGCAACGCTCCACAGCCCATCTTCAAACCTTCCTGCCCAAGGCTTCCCCGAGGCCAGGCTTTGCAGCAGGAAAGAAGAAACCAGGTGTTATAACATCTGTATTAACTGCAGGAACAGCACGAAACCCGGGGCAGCCTGCCCTCTGCACCGAACCGACGGCTCGCTGCTCCCGGGCTGCCCAGCAGAAACGCTTCCTCCCAGGTGGAACTTTGGGCCCAAAAGAGCTGTCAAAGCGTGACACGCCACAAAGCGGCTTTTAAACCCAGAACCTCTGCGTTCAGCGCTCACATCCGCTCACCTGCCCAGCGCCGGGGGACAACTCACAGAACCGGGAACGGTTCGGGTGGGAAGGGACCGCAGAGACCCCCCAGGGCCACCCCCGGGGCAGGGACCCCTCCCACCGGCCCAGGCTGCCCAAAGCCTCACCCAGCCTGGCCTCGTCTTTGCATTTAAACCTCGCCAGAGCCCGTCGGTGGGGCAGCTCGGCTCCGTTGGGGCTCTCTGGAAAC